CCTGTCCGTCCGTTCGTCGGTCCGTCCGTCCGTCCGTCGGTATGTTTGTTTTTGTTATCGCTCTCTCTCTCTCTCTCTCTTTCTCTCCTTCTCCCTCTCCCAGCATCCGTCTCTCCCCCCTCTCTCTGCCTGTATGTTTGGGTCTCTCTCTCTCTCTCTCTTTGTCTCTCTCTCTCTCTCTCTGTCTCTCCCAGCGTCCGTCTCTCCCTCTCTCTGCCTGTCTGCGTGGGTCTCTATCACTCTCTCTCTCTCTTTCTCAGCGTCTGTTTGTCTGGCTGACTGTCTCTTTTTTTTTTTTGTTTTTTTTTTCTCTCTCTCTCTCTCTCTCTCTCTCTCCTCTCTCTCTCCTCTCTCTTTCTCTCTCTTTACATATTCAAGGGGGCTTTAGTGTGAGAGGAGGAGCCAGAGAGAGAGAGAGAGACAACAACAGTCTATTTCAGTACAACTGTGCGTACGTGTAGACTCGACAGGAAGTCTCGTCCCCCAAGCCCCAGCAGCCTGCGAACAGAGGTGGTCCAGCACGAAGGGAGGGAACACAGAACAGATCCACCACCCCAGATTAGGTAGGTTTCGGGACACCATCTCTTTCGCTGAATCTGGAATGTATGCGCTGCGTCCACTCTTCTCTTCCCTCTCTATCCCTCCCTCATTGCCAGCAGTGCGACAATTGACGCTCTCAATCCCAGGAACGAATGCTAGATGATAGCGCTTATCTTGCAGGCCCTGCTGTCTGGCCCTGAGACCAATCCTGGCCTCGGGCCCTCAAACTTTCGACAACGCACCTGCCGAGGACGCTTCTCAACCACACTTCGCCGTCGCTTCTCGTGTACACCATTTTCATGACATGCGGGCTCTGGGCTGGACTGTTGGGAAGGGCTCGCACCCGATCGTGACCCTGCTTCCCTCTTGCAGCCGTGGCGCCTGCTTCACGCGGTTGCTGCAGCGCAACCTCCACAATACTTTCCGCTCCCCTTCCGCTCCTCACCCCCTCCGCCGTACTGATCCTCCCGGCCCTTTTTCGGGCATGGGCAGGGCTGGGTTTGGTGCGACCTGGTTGACTGCTGTGCACCGGAGGGGACGCCCCCCCCCCCCGGGCCCCAGTCCAACAGCGTCGCTCGAGTGCCTGCTGGCCAACTTCGCCCCCTCTGCCTCAATCCGTGACGACAGCTGTGCCTCAATCCGTGGGGGGGAGAGCGAGGAGGAACGAGGAGCGAGGCGGAGAAGGAGGAGGAGGAGGAGGAGGAGGAGGAGGAGGAGGAGGAGGAGGTGGAGGAGGAGGAGAGAGAAGGAGGAGGAGGAGGAGGAGGAGGAGGAGGAGGAGGAGGTGAGGAGGAGGAGGAGGAGGAGGAGGAGGAGGAGGAGGAGGCACGGCGATTGCCTCGCCGTCGCTCGGACGCCCCTTCCTCCTGCATGCCTCGGCCTCGTGCACGATCTTCCCTTGGCGCGCCTCGCCGAGAGGAGCGCTGCACACGTCCGAGCGCTGCCCAGAGGAGCCACGGCGCCTGGCGGCCCGCCTCGGCAGCGCGGGAGCCCGCCCGGCCCCGGGCGCCCGCGCCAGTGGCCCACCCCATTGAGGCAGGGCCCGGCCGCCCCGGCATCTCTATGGGCCTACCATTAAGTCGGGCCTGTGCCCCTACAGGGGGCTTTTCGACGAACAATAAGAAATACCCAACAATAATCCAAAACTAGTCCCCAAATAGTCAAGGGACTATGTTTTGAGTATGTTTTGACCTTTGGGGGGTATTGTTGGGGTATCTTTCGTCGGAAATTCCCCTGTAGGGGGACACGCCCGACATAAGCCTACCACGAAACCTTCACAGAACCCCCAAAACACGCCCTAAGAACAAAAGCCATGCTCTCAGAACATGAGCCCGATGTGCTCAAACAGGCCAGCGTCGGCCAGAAGTGCTCCAAAAGAACATCTCGCGCAGACCACAACAGGCTCCTGGAACACCCTCTGGCGGGCCTACGGGCAGGCCAGGACGCTTCGCCACTGCTTTTGACCCCCCCTCCCCCCGCAGAACCCGTGCCGACGGCCCCCCCGGCACACCGCAGCACCGCTGCGCCCCCGCCTCTGCCGGCACCTGCCCGCCAGCTCGCGCGGCCCGTCCGCCCAGCCCTCCGCTCGCCGCGGCGGCAGACAAACCGCCCGACTGGCGCTTCTCAGGAGCGGTCAGCATCGAACCGATAACTGCATCAGATCGGGTCGGATCCGAACAAGCATCGAATCGGGCCGCATCGGCACAAAGTCAGAATCGAATCGCATCGGCTGTGCCCAGATACACAACTACGCTGTGCAAGCATCGGGGAACGTCGGACCGCCAGGATATCAAAATCGAATGAGATCGAGCTGGGTGAACTCGGCATCGCATCGGGCCGATCGATCCGACATGGACCCAGACATCCAGCTGCCCAAATTTTTTCGATGCGTGGGCCCCGGGGGTCCGGACCACATCCCTAGGGCCGGTCACTCTTGGACGCCCGAAATGGGTACGGACAA